GACTGAGGGTGACAGTTTGGGTCCGATGATAATACCTTGCACCAATCTTAACAAATATTTTTTGTGAACTACAGAAAAATAATAATAAATTAAAACTACTCCTACGTTTTTAAATTCACCAATTAATGAAGTTGTTTATTTTATAATCATTCCAAAGTTGAAAATAATAATAAAAAAAGTTAAATACTTCGCTGAAAGACAAAAACTAATATGACACTGACACCTAAGGTGACAATTTGTTAACCACTGACTGGAATTTTAAATCTGTGCGATTTCAATACTATTCCATAAATATTCACAAATATATTAATGCAGATTTAGTTTGAATTCAGTCATTATATAAACATCTTAATTTCAACACTAAAATCATCAACAGACTTCAATCTGAACTTTTAAACTAAAAAAAAGGCAAAAAAAAAAAAAAAAACCCTCTTTGTTTTAATAATGCTTCAAGTCAGGCTGTATTTAAAAAAAAACTGCCTACCATCCACTGCCATGACATGTAAGCAAGCATCCAGCTCTGAATCACACACCAAACTTAGCTTGTTTCAACAGCTCCTCCCACCATATGGCCCATCAGCATAATGACTTTCAAATTCAACTAGTGATGCCAATTAGAAAGCAAGGCATCACTTGTAGTGGTTTATAATTGGGAAGTGTAGAAACCATTTCACTCCTTTGAACAGTTTTATTCTGCATATTTTTTTAACTCAGACAGCAGCCCTGTTTATGCACAAATACTTATTGAGTTGCTAATTAAAAAAAAAACAAAAAACATTTTATTTAAAGTATTACAACCAACATCTGCTTGTTGGATTGTTAAATGAATACATAATTTCAGAGAACAAAATAAACAAATAAAAAAAATTAAGATATTTAAAAAATAAACTTACAGAGAACAAAAATCAAAGATATCCCTGAAATATCTGGTATTTCTTTTATTGCCTGTGTTGGGTAAAGTGTAGCTCATTTTAAAAGGAATCAATGTGAAACTCCTGGTGACTTACACACACATCTGTTGTCATCCAGCAGCACACGCTCTCCACGGCAAGTGCAGTTGACCCTTCCATGAGCTGTCAGCAAACAGAGGTCACCGCAGCCTCCGTTCATGTGTCGGCATGGGGAGAGCTCACCTTCAGTAACATTCAAACACAGATAATTAGGCTTTAACAAAGAAAGAAAATTCAATCCAGGTAACTTTAATGCATTCAGGGTATTCTGGGGAAAACACAATATGTCACATCTGTGGGAGGAATTACAAGTGGTCTTTATATTTTATTTTTTATTATTTGCGCAATTAGGTTTGTTACTGAAAAAAAAAATAAAATCTGTCTGAACTTGGCTGTTAAATTACAAGAAATCAAGTTCATACAAACAATACCAGATAACATAAATCAGTATAAATATTTATTTAATAAAGCCAGACTAAAATAAATGAATAAACATTTTGTAACACTTTATTTCCACACCAAATTCAAAACCGCTGTTTGTCTGCTGTCACAGTTTCTTTTTGACACTTCAACGTGTTTTGAAGTATTCACAAATAAGTTTTAAGCAAAAGCAAATATAAAGGAATCAAATGTTTTTTTTTTGTTGTTGTTGTTTTTTTTTGCTCTACATGCTATTAAATAATATGGTGGAATATGAAAAAACAACAACACAAGTTTCACATTTCACTAACAAAAAAAAAAAACCAAACAAAAAAAAAAAACGCGTACCATTTTCTATCCGCTTTCCAAAATTCGCTACTTCGTCTTGGTCCTTTACAAAAGTTTCAAATACAGTAAATTATTTTGATATTTGTGGTTGTTTTCAGACCAAATATGAACATGTTCAAGGGGTGTTAACACATAAGTTACTCATCTTTTTATTATAGTGTTCCAGAGTGAAATTCACAATGTATTAAATTCCCTTTATTAAAAAATGTTGGTGCATATATCATGGATAACATGAAGACAAAGCATAAACCTATTTTTGTGCTTTTACTTTAAAACAGTTGTTGAAAAAAATTCCCTGTTAATTCCTAGAGGAAAAATGTAAGAAATATTTAAGCAAAAGATACATTCTTTATCAGAGCTATTTAGAGACATTTGAGTGTTGTTTTCAAAAAAGAATAAAGACATCAATCTGATCTGCAGCTCAGGTAATTTTATGAACAGTACTTATATTCAGGATATTCGTGACAATAATAATAATAAAAAAAAAAAAAATAGAGTGTAACAACGTAAAGACAGGAAGGGATAAACTAATATTCCGAGCCAACATTTCCGTTCACTGCGCATGAAATTGCAAACTTGCAGCTGGCTCATTCAGGTCACAGGATGCAATAATTTTCCATAACCAGATAAACAAGGAAATGAGCTGCTCTCGCCATCCGATCCGAAGCCAGTGGGATGTGCTCACCTTCTATGTCCTACTTGGAAATTAAACTTTCTACGACACTTAAGAGACTCCCTCTACAACATAAGCTACTGTTTTATTAATTACCACTGAGGTTTAAGTTTCTCGCCATTCTAAATACGACTACTTTCATTTATCAACTCGGCGTCTTTCGCTTCAAATTAATATGTTTTTTAAAGTAAGCTCCAACTGGGTGATAACTAACAGCTATATCTGGTATTGTTGATTACTAATATGGATGTGGCCTTGAATAATTTAAATTACTTCTTCAAGTGATGTAACTAATAGTTGTGATATCAAGAGACTCTACCACTTGAGATGTGCATCTCAGCAACTCCTCCAGAGTTGCAAAGAACATCCTGGTCGCCTTTCTGATACACTGAAGGTTTACAGTTATGCCAGCGCCTTTCAGTTTTCATATGATGGGTTCAAAAGTGCCGTGTTAAATGTTCAAAGTTTGGGAAACTGTTTTACAAATTGACCCTACTCTGAAATTCTCTGCATGTTGTTTGTTCACAAATGTTCTCTGGTCTGAGGCCAGAGGCTAAAATAGATCAAATGTTGTGGTGTTAATGTGACAAAAGGCAAATAAATTCAAGAGGTATATCTTTTCAAGGTGCAACAGTAGATTGGTTCTTGTACTTACAGTTATTGGTATCCTTTGCCACAGCTATTATTCCCATTGGCTGATGGGGTATATCGGCTCGAAGCACCTTGGTGTCAGCACCAGTGTACTTATTTGATCGTAGGACAGCTCGACGGGCCCAGTCAGACCAGTAGATAAAATCTGCATAGATGGCCAGCCCATAGAAGTTTCCGGGTCCTGATTTAAGTATGACCTAAAAAAAAAAAAAAAAAACATATAGAGCAGGGAGCTGCTGTTAGGTCATGGGGTGAATTATGTAATATTCCCTTCATGGAAATATATTTCCAAAGCAAAACTGTACAGGATACAGACAATCTGTCTGTAACCCCTGGAAAAATGGGAAAAAATATTGTGTCTACTCATTAATCAACAAATCAACCCCTGCTGCCAGCTTCACTGCTTAACCCAGATGTTGGGGGAGTAAATGACAGTGCCATTGGCAGCGAGGCAAGAATCCATCAGACGCCTCCTTCTGGGACTCCCCCCCGGCTTGTATAGAGGATCATGGACTCCAACAGCTTGGTAGCCTCAGCCATTAGTGGGACAGGCTTGTAAGCGACAACACATTAGCCCTGTGCCATACTGGGATTAATAGGACAGGTGTTGATTAAAGGAGCCCAGCGTGTGGAAGCAACAACTGGCCACGACGCGACTGAGAAACGGTGAAGAACAGAGAAATAAACGACAGATGGTGTGGGGAAGAACATATTGATAGGAAATTAGATTTGGGAGATGTTCGGTTTAAAGGCAGCAACTCATTAGTTTTGTGCAGAACTCATGTTTTGAGTAAATTAGTAACCAGTCTGTCTCTATTCAAAAGTATCCAGATATGATTGTAGAAATTACTGGTAGTTTATGATGCAGCAGGGAAAATAAATATGAGCACATCAATGTTTTCCTCAATTTCTAATGGGCTATTGTCATGAAATTCACACCAGATGTCACCAGAATGATCCTTGGCTGCTGAACAACTCTGTTGATTATTCTTTTGACGCATTGTCAGAAATCTTGCATGGCTGATTAATGGTGTCATGATGTTTTTTCTTCTTCTTCTTCTTCCAGAATGTGACCCCGTACCTCGAGAGTGAAAATTCTCAAACCCAAGCGGAGGTCACTGGATCAATCAGACGTCAGGAAATGGATTCTGTAACCAGTGCCACTTTGCACTCAGCTGGAACCTGCTTCAGCGCTACTGGTCATAACTTGAAGAGCCACATCATCACTACCTTGGGATTCAGAAACCTTAAGTCATCAGCTATAGGGCTAACCCACTTGGTATTAACGATACACAAAAGGAGCAGGACTGCCTGAAAGATTTCAGTTATTTTCTTGGCTTTTGATTCCTTTTTGCATCTCCTTTTTCATGCGTTCAGTAACTACTTCCTTCATTACACTTTATAATACATAACATAAAATTTGGACACATTTTTATGACTTCCTTTTTTCTGATTTTACTTTTTATATGACTCTGATGGACTGTCAAAGCCCCATCAGAGACATTTTACTGAAGAAAAGTGCTTGATATTTGTTTGTTGTGGAAAGTGTTAATTCATTACATTTAAAACCAACATTAAGTAATGCAAGTGAGGCTTTATGCATACTAAACTTAACAGTTTGATATCTTTCAGTTTTGTAGTAGTTTGCATGATGGTGAAAAATCACAGCTTCTTAGCTAAACTTGCTGACCCTCATGCTGCCATCGATAATGCTGTCGTCACTCTAAATATGACACTGAGGTGAGAATTATGCAAACGCTCGACGCCCCCAAGCTCCCTGTCAGTTAAGAGGAGAAGCTGTGCCCTGAAAGACAAAACTGCTACTAAAGTTTACACTAATATGACTCATTACAAAAAGTCTTTTATCATGGTTGTTCTTTGCCTTAGTCTGTTCTAATTCTTAATTGAAATCCTGTGGTTACTGGCATTTCTTGGTAATTTGAACACATCTTTTGTCACATGAAATTAAACAATATTCTTTAAAGTGACAACCTGCCTTAAGCTTTCACAGTAAGTAACTTGTCTGCAGCGGATGCTTTGTCTTTACTATAGTTTGGTTTGAGGATGGTGTTAACAGCTAGCTATCTCTGTTCAATTTACACATTTTAATTGGAAAGGAAATGCTGCACCCAGAGCAGTCTTGCTGCAAAGCTTTCATTAGCAGCACGAAGCTGCTGCAGGTTCAGGTGGGGTCTCAAAGGTGAAGACTTTGTGAGCCTTGTGACCCAGCTCATCACACATATGGGTAACTAATTGAGATGGGCCAAACTGCTGGGCCGCGTGAGTCATGTCAAGCAAAAACTAGATTCTCCAGCATGAAAAGGTCATCCTGTACTGTAATCCTCTGCATACCCAGGACACAGCTGTTGGGATGTCATACATTATGCATCAAACTTTTATGGACAAAACTTGATCTCCCCCTTCCTGGGTTTTATTTACTTTACCAAGAACGGACTTTTGTGATTAAGGAAACCATCTGTGCCCTCAGAGAAGAAATAGGACAACTTCAAGAGGTATTTCAAATCCCATCTGCTGTGTGGAGGATCTTGTTCCAGGAACGTAACTGCACACAAGTTTCTTTTTAATGCAAGAAAACAAAAACAATTTACTATGCTCATTTCTCCAAGTGTAGTTGAAAGTTAAAATGCATAAATACATTAGAAGCAATGGCAATTATCACCAATTTTAACAAATAGAGATGCATGTGTGTCATGTAAAGACTTTTGCTCCTCTTTTGTTTCATAGAAAAACTAATGCAGAAATGTTGTGTTATGACCCAATCATGACTGGAATTTCTCAAAAGTCAAAGGCAACTTGGAACTATAACATACCTTTAGCAAAACGTATAAGAGTAGGAAAGCAGCAGGGCTTGTGAATTTAATTTTAAATAGGCTTAACCTTTTGTGATCTAGCTCATTGTTATGTGAGGCCTTACACTGTCAGGTACGATGAGTATAAAACAATCTAAAATAGTGTGACTTTTTCAAAATATGTTTCTTAAATCTTGGGAATTCAGGACATCACACAGAAATGCAAAACTAAACAATTAAAGTGAGAAATATTCTTTTAGCACAACAGCCACAATTTGTTGCATTTTCTTTTGTTTTCCTACTTACATATCGACTGGAGCCGTCGTAGTCACACCTCTCAATCTTGCCAAGGCTTCCATCTGAGAAGTAGAGCTTTTCTGCTTTGTGGTCAATTGTCAGTCCATTTGGTGTCAGGATGTCAGAGCTGATTATAATCCTGATGTTCTTGCCAGCCAACGTGGATCTCATTATGCTGGGCCTCTGCTCATTCCAGTTGGTCCAAAACATCAAGCTAAGCATGCAAAATGGACAGTAAAGGTCAGCTTTACAAAGTACACGGTGCAAAACCTATTTTCAAACTTTACATCCTATTATTTCAGAGAAACATATCTTGTAGTCATCTATCAGTCCCATCGGTCTGAGGAAGGTTTGCTCTGCTCCTGATTTTCGGCAGAGAGCTGTTGGAAGGGTTTGTTGATTGCACAGCCTGTTTCATGTCACCCCACAGCATTACAATTAGATTACAATCTGGGTTTTAACCTGCCAAACACCCCCAGACCTTTGAAACTTCCAACTCTATGCTTCACAGTTTAATGGATGTTCTCTTTCCTGGAATGCTATATTTTGTTATGCCAAATGTGTCTTTTGTTCTGGTGTCACTTCACTTACTAGGCTCATCTGTCCAAAAATACTATTACAAACATCTTGATATTTGCTACATTTTATCTGGCAAACTTTAGTCTGACTTTCAGGTTTTTTTTGGTAAAGTGTTCTTGTTGCACATCTCCTAATAAAGTTAAACGTTTTTCAGCGTCTTTTTGATTGTGCAGGCAAACACTTTCAAATCATCATTAGAAAGAGCCTGCTGCCATGACAACATTGACAGGCTTTGAGATTTCTTTTAGCAGGTGGTGGTATGTCTGTGGTCTGAACTTCCTTGGATTATAATCCTGATCCAATAAATCCGGGCATGTTAGCAATTTAAATGTTATCCAATTGCAAAGTATTTTCTGTTCAGAAAAATGGCTGATTTCAAATTTGTTTGAGGTCTCATTATCCCTTTTCAGACTCATAAGTTGCCAGAATCTTTCTAAAGGCTGGAGATGGCGCCCATGCATTTCAACAGTCAAGAAAACACCAAACTAAAATGCTAATTTTCCATATACCCCCATAAGCAGTAGAAACTGATTACAAGCTTAGATTAAGGCAGTTATTTTTGTTAGGTATCACAATCCTCTTATAGCTGAAAAGATATTGTTCCTTAATTTTCACTCTGTAAAAATGATAAAAAGTTTAGCTCTGGCTCAAATAAATAAGATGGATTAGCATCGCAGCTTAAATGATAAAAGTCAACTATACAAATCCACATGTGTGAGAGCCCAGGAAACAGATAAGAGCAGCATATGAATACATTTTAAAAAGTCATACCATCAGTTGTATGTGACTTGCAATAGGAATGGACAACACAAGTTAGACAGAGGCTGTGTTGTTCAGTAAACAACAAGCAGGATCTCCTTTGACATCTTTTAAAAGAAAAACCTTATCTTAATCCTGGCCTCCCACTTCAAAAACTTAATGAAGTCATAGAAGCCCACTCTACTACACTGATAAAAATTCAGGTCAGAAGTCACAACCAGAGTCTACTAATTAATCACTTGAGCTTAAATTTTAATTATCAGACTGTGATTCGAGAGCAGGATAGATATGCTGCCAAACTGCCAACCAAGGAGAGACTGGGGTCAAGAAATTAATTTAGTTAGTGTAGCAAGAGTTAGAGGACACTCAGTCTTTCCTGACTGCTCTCAATATCTTTCAATATATTTATAAAAAGAGAATTTGAAAACAAAATCATGCAAAAACGTTCATTTTTTTTTAGCTGGTTTAAATTTTTCAAAACTGCTGAAAACCTGCAGAATTCAACACATAAAAACTGTTATTTAAAAATTGTACCATGAATGCCTGATTATGTGTTTTACAAAATAGAGAATCAAGGACAAAAAAAGGTAGGGAAGATAAACTAAAAATAACAAACTTTTCAATATTTACGTCAATATACCAGGGATTAGGACCATCATTCGTGGTTTTAAAAGCAAATTTGAGAAAATGCAAAGTTCAAATTTCAAATGATTAATCTGTTAAGCAAAAAAAGGAACCAGCCTGGCCCTACATGAATAAGCAAGTGTCTTTTTCTAATTTATGAGTTAGCTGTGATTAACCATATTTTTGGAAAGCTAAGTTAATTTTCATTATCAACATGCAGGCACGACTGCTATCAAAATTGTAGACACAAGAAATAACTTAAACAGAACCATTTGGGCAACATATAGTCAGCTCAAATATCTAAAAACAGTAACACACCAAACCACAAGGATATGCAAGACAAACCAAAATCCCTGACATCAGTTTGAAAAGGTTTACAGAGTCATTTCTAAGATTTGAGGACTGGAGGAAACCACAGTGATAACCATGACCCACAAAAAAAAAAAAAAAAAAAAAAAAACTTAAAACAGGGGTCAACTTCAAGAGCAAATCAAGGACTCATCCAGGAGGTCACAAAAGAAGCAAGAACAACATCCTAAGTACTCCAAGCATCACTTGTCTCAGTTAAAGTCAATGTTTACTAGTGCGGTTCAATAACAGGAAAGAGACTGGACAATAATTGCATTCATAGCAGAGTTTCAAGGTGAAGACCCCTGCTGATCTAAAGGAACACAAAGTCTCTTTTCACCTCATCCAATAAATGTCTTTTGAGAAACTTGCCACATTGATGAAAACATTGATCCATTCTGCCGATTGAAGTTTGAACTTAAATGCAATAGAGAATCTGAGATGATTTGGCAAGCCCTTCATGATCAAAACCCTCCAATGTTGCAAAATTAAAATGATTCCACAAAGAAGGGGGCAGATGTCCTACAGAGGGATGTAAAAGAATCACTGCTAGTTGTTACTAAAGCTTGATGGCAGTTTTTGCTGACAAAAACCATATAGATTTACTTTTATCACATGGAGTCAAGCTGTGTTGAATGTTTTTATTTTTATTAAGTCTTTCAAAAATGGCATTTTTAATTTACCGAGTTGTAAAAAAAAAAAAAGGGATACCAATTTGTTAGTGGGGAGATTTTCTCCGTTGCCTTGTTCTTTTGGCTGTCAACAAAAAACAAAAACAAACAAAAAAACAACAACTAACGTTTAACAAAGAATCTCCCATGTCTTCTTTTTTTTTTTTTTTTTTGGCCTAATATTATGTCACAACCTATCTAAACTGGATATATTGTTACATTTCACAAGTTGATAACCTTTTTTCTCACCTATTGTGGGTGTATGCTTAGAGATTTAACCTGAAGAATGGCAACAGGGATGGTGTTTCTATTACCGAGCAGGTAGCTCCTCTGCAGCAGATACAGACTGCATGCCACCTGCACATGTTTGAATGCTCTGTGAAGCATAACTATAACAGCACTGTGGCTCCTGCTGCCTGATGAGGTCTGGGTTGTCTGCAGCAGGATATCTAATATTTAGCTTTATTTAGTCCAATTCACAGGTATAGGAATTAAGTAATCCTACAGCACTTCCATGTATTTCAGATTCAGTTCTGTTACGTTTAATCTACTTGTCTGCATATCTGACTAATGCCTGGTTTTATGTTGGTATACGAGATAAGTCAGACTGATCCAGCACAAAGGTGAAAACAGTGAGTACAACATAGCAAGTAATTTAAGATATCATTTTAAGCATGTTAGTTTACAGAAAAGCCAAAAGGAAATTAATAGACTCATCAAAATTGTCAAATTGAACAGAGCAATCAAATTTATCTTGACCAAAATCAGTTAAAAAAATAACATAACTTTGTTCTCCTACTATTTAAAGAATGACACAAATGTGTGAAAAAATTGCCAAAAATCCAAAATTACTGTCATAATTTTTAAGAACAGTGTTTATCTTTATGTAAGACTTTATTAAACAAGAACAAATATATATATATATATATATATATATATATATATATATATATATATATATATATATATATATATATATATATATATATATATATATATATATATATA